ACACAAAATAATTTTTCCGTTGTTAAATTTAGAGACGGATTTTTTTTCTCCGTTGCTAATACCAACGACAGATAAAAAAAATCTGTTGCTAAAACTAGCGAAGGAAATAAAAATCCGTTGCTAAAACCAACGACAGAAATAAAAATCCGTTGCTAAAACCAGCGACGGAAATAAAAGTCCGTTGCTAAAACCAGCGACGGAAATAAAAATCTGTTGCTAAGTTCAGCAACGGAAAACAAATAAAACGTCGCTAGTCTCATTTAGCGACAACAGTTTTACCAACGGAGTAATTCCGTTTCAAAATCTGTCGCTACCTATATTTAGCGACAGAAAAGTACAATCTAGCAACGGATTTGACCTGTTGCTAAATGTCTATTTTTTTGTAGTGCGTTAGTCATTAATGGTATGTTGTGACATTTTCATAAAACTGAATGTTATACGGTAAATTTGAAAAATGTTGGTGATATTTGGTGAATTAGATTAAACTCAGTGGTATTCGGTGAAAAAACCGTTATAAGAATTGGAGATGGAGGGAGTATTTACAAACCATTATTACTCACTTCCCCCAATTATAAGAATTCAAGATCAACAAAGTTTGGCACTTTTAGATTACATAATGAGTGATATTTTGATACACGAGTTTGATTTGCTTCTTCATACAATCATTCATGATGTTTATCAGATTTTCAAGATCTGGGCATTGCTAATTTTGGATTGAATCGATTAACTACTTGAACTATTGGTAGGTTCATGTCAATTTACTGTAGTTTTCGGTTCTAATTTTAAATAATTTGATTATTGTAATGCCAAATTCGGTAGGTTTGATTGAAATTGTATAGGAAGAGTGTTAGGTTATCCTTGTTTTGATCATACAGTAACTTGATGTAATCTCTTTAAATTGATATTAAATTCTTGGAAACTATAATTTATTGGTTGATTGGGAGTACAGCTGAAATGTGATGTTGGGAGATTTTTATTGCATGATTTTTGTATTTTTTTTTTATTTCATATAATGATGTCTAAATCATGTTATTGTGATTTGGCCGAGTGTTAAACTTAGGACCGTGTCCAAGTGTCAGACGTGACCATTTTATGAAAATTTTGCTAATTTTTGTTCTAGTATGAAGTGTCCATATGTCATGACTATTCCCAAGTGTGAAGTAACCGGGTCCAAGTGTCAGACGTGACCATTTTACACTGTAATGATCTGATTGTCAAGTAACCAACTCCGGCTAGCAGTGTGATAATGATTATATTTCATTACTCCTTCCGTTTCTTAAAGATGTTTATATTTGAAATGTCTTAGTTAAAGAGTCATAATTTAGTTGAGTATTTCCCTAAAAAATAATAATTAGTTGAGTCTTAAATTTTTATGACTATTTTTGGCATTGCATGATCAAAGTTTATTTTTTATTTTTTTTTACATTGAAAGTGAGGTAAAAATGGACAGGGACATCTTTTAAGAACGGAGGGAGTTCAGTGAGATGAATTCACTGGTTGTGTACTAATTGTACTTGGATAACTGACTCCTAAATGACTACGGAGTATCTAGTACTAGGAAGTTGGCTAGGTAGTAAAAAGACCACCACAATCCTTAATTCTTCTATTCATTTTTTTAAAATAAATTAAATTCCCAACATCAAAGTTTTTAAGAGAAGTTTTTGGTGATTTTTTTGTGGAGAAAAGTTGGGTTCTTGGTGAAAATGTAGGAGAATCAAGCTGAATGACATTGAACATACTTAGCAGCTCTTGTCAAAAGCATTTTTGATTTTTCCAGTAAGAGGCTGATTTTCCTTGTACTAAAATTCACATTCCATTCTTGCATGGTCATTAATCATTGCTATATGCCATAGAATGAGGCTGATTATAATCAACACGTCACATTATACTGAGTACATAAACATTAACAGGATTATTGGATGTTAGATACAACTGAGTCTTATGTCTTTTGCATCTTATGATTTAAATGTTGATTCTTGACTAACAATGTTTGATTGCCTGGGATGTTATTAGCTGCAAGAATGCGGAGTTGCAATGGCTATAAGAAGATACTGTCTGTTGATTTTCACACCTGGGTTTTCAGGCACATGAAACACTTCATTTTATAGTCCATTGGCTGATTTCCAATCAAAAGAGTAAACAAGATTTGCTAATGCTATCTCAGCAAGTGAATCTAAGGGTGCCCCTGGGCAACCTCTTTTCCTGCTTTAAACGGAATTCAACTGGAAATTCTTCTCTCTGGACGGAATTCCGCAGGATTTTCCCAATATATCGAGTCTCTCTGTATTGCCCATGCATTGATTATTACTTGTGTCCTTGCAGCAATGTCAACCAATTTTTTTGACATCCTGTGAGGGCTCACGAAACACCAGCAATGGGGGTGGAGGATGTAGCCTAAGTACCTCCTTGATCACTGCTTTCAAGTACTTCATCTCTTTCAGGTCATCTTGAGGCACCATTGTTTTTTGTCTAACAACTCCTCTTACCTCATTTTGCAGTTCCTTCATAACTTGGGGATGTCTCAGCAACTTTGTAATTGCCCACTCTATTAGTGTATACGTTGTATCAGACCCAGCTGCAAACATATCCTTCATTGAATGCAAAATTGATTTTGCAATAGTATATGAATATCATAAGCTTATGCCAGAAATTGCTGATGAGGTACTTTCTTAATTAAAACTGTGTTGCACTTATATATTTTTGTATGCTTTGTTTGGCTAGAATTGTGATAATTTTGCTCATTTGAAAAGTAAAATTACCTGTCTTTAAAGTGACAAGATTTGTTGAACTTCCATTTAATCATTGAAATTTGACCCTGTATTAAGATTATAAGGGTTTATGTGTTGGCGGATGAGTGTGTACTAGGTATCATCATCATTAAAATGACTTTAATGCTGTCCATGTGAAAAGCAGCTGTGTTTTCCTTCTGAACATCCAACATAATATCTACAAATTCCTTTTCATTCTCTTCATTTTCAGTCTTACGATCCATGCACTTAGATAACATACTCAAGGAACTTATCAAAGTGTATGGCAAATTTATTCACCCGACTTTCCAGACCACTGAGTCGACCAATCCAGCCAAGCCAGGGTATGAAATCTCCCATACAACACTGCCATTACCTCAACAAACTCTTTTCAAAAGCTGGTTAAAATTAGTACCCACTTCTCCAGTATACTTCTTTCTGAAGGCTGTCCAACACAAATTGCTCAAGAGCATCATTAAATTCTCACTTAAGTTATAGGGATGTATTGATCATTTGAACCATCAGACTGACTTCCTCATTTCTAACCTTCTGAATTGATTGAACATTATTGTTACTCGAGGGCTGTAGGACACATATGCTCCTTATCTGCCTCCAATATTCCCCATAAGGTGAAAAGACTATGTCTCTGTCATCATAGGTGATCTTGCTTGTAATGTATGATTGAGGTCTATTGGAGAAGATAATATCATGACTCATGAGTCCTCATGATCTTGCGTGCTATGACTTGACAAAAAGGGAGGTAGTGCTTCTGATGTGAATCAACATCACTTCTTCACATTGCTTGGACAAAGAGTGTAGAGAGCAGTGTGGGAATGTGCCAAGTTGGTGAAGGTTGCCTAAGATGGGAAATTTTGTTGGGGAGGATGGCAGTTTCTGCTTCAAGCCAGATTTATTATTTGGAAATCTATAGGTGATGATTAAGAAGAGTAAGAACCGGAGGGAGAGGGGATGGAAACAAAGATTATTCCAGAATTGAATAACAGTAGACATTTCTTTGAGTGTTCTGTTTCACCTTGTGTGATAGCTGTAAGCCCGTTATTATTACATAGAAGGAATCAAAGGAAGAACAGGCTCAGGAACTTGATGGAATTTGTTTGTCACATTCAAGTGTTTATTCCATTGTATGTATCCAGATTGGAATCACTTTTATTCGGATATGCATCCAAGTCTTAGGCTCCTCTATTTTATGAAATATTCTGCATTTTAGTCCAAGATGAAGAGTCAACTCTTTCATTGCCCATACCAGTGTCCATATGTGTCAAGGATCCTACCTGGGTATGTCAGGTAAAATGCAGAAACTGAGTACTATGGGGAGCACTAGTCACTAGATGTTGTTCACTTATTTCAGTGTTTGTCAGGATATTAGAAATCGATCTGGCTTGAGATATAATTTTACGGGAAGGGGTAGAGGGAGGAATGAGTGGTGGCATTATAGTTGTTCAGTGTAAGGATTTTAAGAACAGGAAAAGGGAAACCAAACGACTGAGTATTACTACCATTTAGTGATATGATTCAAGATGTGAATTTCTGTGGCTCATTTCCTGAGAGTTCTCTACCTCAAAACACGTTATCTTATCTCATAATACATTGTTGTTGGTTATAAACATGTGGGCCATCTTACTCTAAACTACCTATCTACTTAAAAATGGCGTGTTTCATGAAGTTGATGATAAAGAAATTGACATATTTAATTAATTATTGTCAATTTGTCTAATTGCTACCAGAAATGCGTTATGTTCTGGTATGTGGGAATAGTACTACAGGAACTTAAATATACTTTGTTTCATGAAGTTTTTAACTAGTCCAGATTTGTAACATGTACCATATTGTACCAATATGTACATTATATCAAATTGTTGTTCGCAAGGGGAAATTAACAGCTTTTGATACCGATAGACTAGAAATAGCTGTGTTAACTAAAAACTCCACATGATAAATAATGATCTCAAACTTAGTTTGACTTCGTGCTTAGGAACCTGTCATCATCTAGAATGGAAATATGCTTACCTGCACTTTATCGGGTGGGTTAAGCTTGATTGGGTTGCTATGTAGAAACTGAGATGCTTATTGTTATGCAACATTGGCTTTTGTACCAATTGTTGTTTCCAGGGTAATGAATTTAATAGAGAATCTAAACACAGGCACATTGGAGTGGAGACGCTTATGGAAAGGCTACTCCTTTTCTTCCAAAGTCACTATCTCTAAAAGGTAGCTTGATCAGGAGGAATCAGCTAAGGAATTGACTGGGTGAAGTCATTTTATTTTGATTTTTTAAATACGACACCAACATCATTATTACCCTAATGCCTTTGAAGAGGCTTCATCCTAGCTCAATTTAGGGACATCAGAAACTTTATACTAAGAACATAATCAGGAACAAGATTAAAATTAACTACGAGTAGGACATAAATAAACTAGGAAATGGAATTGTTATTGTTGGATAATTGATACTGTTTGTCTACTGTCTTGAGCATCTGATGATTCAAATGTTGATTCTTTATTTAATATGTGCAACACGTTCTCAGCTGCAAGAATATAAAGTTGCAATGGCCATAAGAGGATCCCGTCTATTGATTGTTATGCCTGGGTTTTCAGGTACTTCAGAAGTCTCATCTTCTTCTCCATTGGCTGATTTCCAATCAAATGAGTAGACAAGATTTGCTATGGCGAGCTCAATTTGGAATGAAGCAAAGGGTATCCCTGGGCAACCTCTTCTGCCAGCTCCAAAGGGAATCAACTGGAAATCCTGTCCCTTGAAGTCTACTGAAGAGTTCAGAAACCTCTCTGGACGGAACTGCTCAGGCTCTTCCCAATAATTTGGGTCTCTCTGTATTGCCCATGCATTGATGATTACTTGTGTCCCTGCAGCAATGTCATACCCATTTATTTTGGCATCCTGGGAGGGATACCGAAACAGCAGCAATGGGAGTGGAGGATGTAGGCGAAATACTTCCTTAATCACTGCTTTCAAGTAATTCATCTTTTCTAAATCATCTTCAGATACCATTGTTTTTTCTCTAACAACTCCCCTTGCCTCATCTTGCAGTTTTTTCATGACTTGGGGATGTCTCAGCAGCTCCGTCATTGCCCACTCCAGTAGTGTGTATGAGGTGTCGGACCCAGCAGCAAACATGTCCTTCATCAAATGCAAAACCAGTTTTGACTTTGTAAGTTTTAACAAGCTTAAGCTGAATTAGCTGTGGTACTTTATTTTGATTATTTGCTTTGCAAATTTATGTGGAATTTTTATTGGTGATCACTATTGGACTATTAATATTGACTTTCTATTGTAAAATAATTAATTAAAGTGGGAATGAAGGGAGTAGTAGGAATTCTTACCAGTACAATGGCTTTGATGTTGTCCATGGAAAGAGCAGCTGTGTTTTCCCTCTGAACATCCAGCAAAATGTCCACAAAATCTTTTTCACTCTCATCCTTTTCAATCTTTCGATCTAGATGCTCTTGGACTACATGTTGAAGAAATTCATCAAACTCTTTCGCAACTTTGTCCACCCGATTGTTCAAACCAGTGAGTTGATCAATCCAGCCAAGCCAGGGTATGAAATCTCCCATACTGAACACTGCCATGACCTCTACAAACTCCTTTAAAAGAAGCTTAAAATTGGTTCCTACTTCTCCAGCATACTTCTTTCCATAGGCTGTCCTACACAACACACCACTTGTGTACGCGTTAAAAATCTCACTCAAGTTCACTGGTGATTGTTCTGATCTCTTGATCGTCTCAATCACCAGAGTGACTTCTTCTTCTCTTACTTTTCTGAAGGATTGGACCTTTTTGTTACTCAACATCTGTAGGACACAGATGCTCCTTATCTGCCTCCAATATTCTCCATAAGGTGAAAAGACTATGTCTTTGCCATCATAGATTATCTTGCTCGTGATGCGTGATTTAGGTCTATTAGAGAAGATGGCATCATGGGTCTTCAAGATCTCGCAAGCTGCGCTTGCAGATGAGACAACAAAGGAAGGAGTGCTACCTAGGTGAATTAACATCACTTCTCCATATCTCTTGGACAAAGAGTACAGTGACCGATGTGGGAATTTGCCAAGTTGGTGAAGGTTGCCTAAGATGGGCAACTTTGTCGGGGAGGGTGGCTGATTTCTGCTTTTCAAAGGATTATTATTTAGCCATTTGTAAAGGAAGATCAAGAAGAGTATGAACGTTAGGGAGAGGGGATGGAAACAAGTATTCTTAAAGAACTGAAGAATATTAGACATTTCTTCTATTGTTCGGTTTCACTTGGAGCGATATGAAGCAATAACTTGTAGCTTCAATTTATAGTAGGATTGCAAAGCAGAAGTTTAGGAGCTTGAAGGTGTACGTGACAATCGTGTTAGTAAGGATATCTTTAAGATTTTTAAAAAATCATAATGGAGCAATCAGTTTCTAGAAATGAATATGTCCATCCAACAACTTTTATTCATAGATTGTTTTGAACAACTCTAAGTTACTAATTTGGTCTTAGTTCCATCATTTATTTGTATTTTTAGCTTGTCAAAATCATATCCTTTCCCATCTAAAAAAAAAAGCTCATCAATTCATCCAACAAAATCATCTAGATATCAAAATAAGTCGAAAGTAATATATGATTAATATGAATAGTGTAAAAATCCAAATGATGCATTAAAAAGATACAGAATGAGTATGAAAATAAGTGGACCCATGTGTAAATATAAAAATCAGTAGGACGATCCCTTTTGGCGACCAAAAAACATTATCTCCTGGCCAACGACGAAATTCACTTTTCTTGCCCAACGCCTCCGATATGTACGTGGTCCATCGTCACCTCATTGGTAACAAACTAATCACTAACAACCAAAAAGATGTATTGCATTAGATATTAAGTTTGTAGAAAGTGTTGATGGGGTGATGGTGATTTTAGTGTTGATGGCTTAGGTGTTAGAAGGTGTTGATAGTGGTGGTGGCTTAAGTGTTAGCGATGGCAAGTATGACTGTATGAGTGGGAGGGAACAAGAGTAGAAAAAGTTATTCAAGTTAATTTTAATTGATCCAAGAATATTTTGGTCATTACATATACGCTATGATTGAGTAATACTTTAGTGGCAAATAGCAACTAACTTTGGGATGGAGGGAGTATATTTTCTACCCGCGGTTGTAATTATGCAGATCTAATAACAACATCAAAGCAAGGGCAAGGACAAAAAAAATCTAATGTGATTGATTTTCTTTGATTTGGTCCAAGGAGTGTATGATCTTCTAAATTAGTTTTTTCTGGATTAAGCAAGGCTTGCTTGCCGTTAGGATTGTGTTTGACTTTTTTAATCATCATACATAAATCTGAACCAAACACGTATTTTTTTACTTTTCTTTTTTTTGATAAAAAGACGGCAAATCCTTTACTCATTCTTTTTTGGGAATTTTTAATATCATAATCTTAATTTTAGTTTAGACAGAATTTATTGAAATTATTTAGCCAAGAAACTCTATAATGGCTTATTTGATGAATATTAAATCATGTATTTTTGTCTCTATGTAGAATCATGTGGGTTCAACTTATCCTTAAAAAGTATATATAATGATGAATAATAGGATTAATTTAATTGATATACTTGAAAAGAACATGAAATGATGAATAATATGTGGTTCTCTAGCTCTTACTGTTTTATTCTCCCTTCATCCCTTTAGATTTGCCTCATAAGAGAATTGTTATTTTCTTAAGAAAATAGGTGGGACTAAAATGATGTATGTAAGAGTAAATTATTTGTCTTTTATGCTAATTATGGTACGAGGCAAAGTCAATGATACATCTTAAAAAGAAATATGTGGTGAAGGAGTGCTAGTATAAAATTGCTGAATATTTGAAGTTTGTAGATGAGCTTATATGTGGGGTTCATACCTATCTAGTTTAAACTCTGTATTACTCTCACAAACACGGATATGTATTATATGATGGAGAAGTGGAATGAAAGGATGCATTGTAGTTGTAATCTCAGGGATTCTAGAACAGGAGACTGGATATGGAATCACTCTTCTACTTAATTGCATCATTAGGTTTCGTAACCTTACAAGCAAATATTAATTAGAACATCTGTAACCGTGTTAATATGCAGAACAAATCGCATTATCTGAGGAGATGAAAGGATATGAACAAAAAGGGCTAATGTGACTGCTTCGCGTTGACATGGTCCAAGGAGTGTATGATCTTCAAAGGTGAGCACTTCATAATATAAGCTATTCTTTTTCGTCTCAGATGAATTAGCTTCTAAACTTGGATCATGGTTGCTTGCTGTTAATGATTGTGTTTGACTTTTTGATCTACAAACTTATAATTTCAACCAAACTTGAGTTGTTATCCTTTTTTTCAATAAGATTGTGCGAAAATTCTTATTTAATTCATTTTTTCAAATTTTTATCTGATCATTAAATTGACGTTAGTGTAAAACTCCAAAGTGGCTTACGTGATGAATATATTATCAAGATTTTTGTATCTATGTATGATCAAATTTGACTTTAAATATTTGGAGAAGACATTAATTAATGAATAAACTCCAAAGTCCCTACTCGCTTAACCTAACCAAACAAAAGAAAGGCTGTGGATCTTTAGGGAAAATTTCTGTTAATGTGTGGCTGTTGTGAAAATGTGTCTATTCTGTAAAATTATTATGGAAAATAGGATATCACTCTTTTGCCCTTTTAATTTATTTCTTACAAATTCAGATAGTATCAAATTATGACAATGATTTGTCTTGCCAATTTGAGAGCTGGAAAATTTTGGCACGATAAGAACAGCTTCTTGTAATAATTTCGCGTGATGTTTATCATACTCACCACAAAATAATAAAATTAAAATAAATAAATATATATATATATATATATATATATATATTTATTGATGTAAATTGCTTCATGTGTTTACTTTATAAGGAGAGAAATAGAATGTAAAAAGAAAAGTGGTCCCAAAAAGTTGCAACTTGGGTAAAAGATTATGAATTCGTATTATTGAAAAAATATAATAATAATAAAGTAAAAGTGGGAAGAAATCCATGGAACAACCTTAAACAGAAAGTGGGAAGAACTTTACGGGACAAAGGAAGTATGAAGTATTGATGTTTTGCAGTTGTACGCTTACTTCGATATGATGGACAACAGCTATTTTCCGCTAGTTATCTTAACTTGTTACAATATAGAGACTCACAGATCAACTAGTCTAGTTAACTCCCTTTCTCAATTTAGTAGCATATCTAATTCATTACTGAAAAAGATGTGGAGAAGCAACAGCTAGAAGAGGAGGTTTTCGATGTATAGTGAGGCCAGTGCTTTCAGACATATCCATTGTTTCACCTTTGACTCCAGCAGGCAACTTCCAATCAAACTTGTGCACAAGGTTTGCTAACACTAGCTTGATATTAGCTATCGTAAATGATATTCCTGGGCAAATCCTTCTTCCCCCTCCAAATGGAATTAGCTCAAAATCCTGCCCTTTGAAATCTATTGAAGAATGCAAGAACCTATCAGGACGAAACTCCTCGGGTTCTTGCCAAGTAATGGGATCTCTCTGGATTGCCCAAACATTGACAAAAACAAGAGTCCTAGCAGCAATTTCATAACCATTTATCCGTACATCTTGGGTTGCTTCACGAGGCACAAGTAATGGAATTGGTGGATGCAGCCGTAGAGTCTCCTTGATCACTGCTTCTAAGTACTTCATTTTCTCCAAATCATCCTCAGTTATATGATCTTTGTAACCAATTCCTCTTACTTCTTTTTGCAGTTCTTCCATTACTCTAGGATTTCTCAAGAGCTCTGTCATTGCCCACTCTAGTAAAGTGTAATTCGTATCAGTTCCTGCTGCAAAAGCATCCTACATAAAAAGGATCAACATTCAGAGTTCATGCATAATCTTTAATTTCTCTGTTTCTTATTTTGGTAAAAGGTGAAGTTATAGTAATGATCAAAAGCAAGAATTTACTTACCAGTATCAGAGCTTTGATGCTCTCTCTTTCAAGGGAAAAACCAGCTGAATTTTCCTTCTGAATTTCAAGTAAAACGTCTACAAAATCCTTAGTTTCATTATTGTTAACATTATAATTTCCTGATAGTCGATCCAAGTGCTCCTTAAGTATATTTTCCAATATCAAATCAAAACCTTTTGCAACTTTATCTAATCTTTTATTCATACCATTGAATCTATTCACCCAAGCCAACCATGGTATAAAATCTCCAACATCAAATGCTCCAAGCAGCTCCACAAACTCCTTTAAGACCTCCTTGAAATCAATATTTTCTCCATATTTTCTGCCAAATGCAACCCTGCATACCACATCATTCGTGAAGACCACAAACATATCACTTAGATTTACAACTGATGCGTTATTTTGCTGAATCTTTTGCATAAACAGAGCTGTTTCTTCATCTCTTATACCTCTGAAAGACCGAACTCTTCGGTTGCTCAAAAGCTGAAGCACAAATATACTCTTCATTTGTCTCCAATATTCCCCGTAAGGAGAAGCAGCAATATCCATGCTGTTGTAAAGCAGCTTATCATTAATGCTAGACTTAGGCCTGTTGGAAAATACAACATCATGTGATTTCATGATTTCTTTTGCTGCCTTTGCTGAAGAAACTATAAGTGTAGGTTTTTTGCCCAAGTAGATGAGCATAAGCTCACCATACTGGTCAGACAAAGCCCGGAGGGAGCGGTGAGGGTGCACGCCTAGTCGGTGAAGATGTCCTAGAATTGGCAGTTTTGGTGGAGATGGCGGTAAGTGTTGGAAATTTGAAGAGTTTGTGGACAGCCATTTGTAGAGGAAGATTATGAAGAAGAGTGAGGGCAGAAGGAATAGAAGGGGATCAACATAAATTGAATAAAGGGCTTTCTCAAACATATGTAGAACACTACACATATTCTTCTCTCTATTGAGCGAGTTCTACAACTTTTCTTTAGTGCTTTGTGTGCATGATTGGTTTAAGTAGCGCCATTAATGCACGGCTTTCACCCACGACTGTTTATTTTACACCGCTCATTTATGTCATTAACAATAACTTTGATGGCTTTATAAAATTATACTTGCCGCCCGCGGACCACGCATTTTTGTCATTGTCACTTTCTAAGTTTATAGCCGGATTTTTTAACAGTTATTTACTGTGACTAAAGTGACAGTTTCGTAAATAAAATGTACCACCGTGACTAAAGTGGTACAATTTTATCATCCATTTCGTAAATAAAATGTACCATCGTGATTAAAGTGATACATTTTATTTACGAAACTGCCACTGTGAGAAACAAAACGGTGAGTAATGGGGGCGCCCTCATTTTCTAACTAGTTGATTTATAAACATTAGAAAAGTAGAAAGTATTTGTGATAAAAGATTTTGTTTTGTTTCTTCGCGGTGAATGGATAGATACAATGCATGAGATGTTATTATCAATTATCTAATAGATACCGGTGGTGTTTAGAATTTCGTGGGGTTTAGCTTAGCGTTCTTGTCAGCCTAATACAGTAATGCTGTAATACAAACAATATATATTACTTTTAACAACGTCTATAATTGCAATTATGTTACTTGCTAGACTTGGAGATGTGTTATAAAAGGCTTTTACATGTGCATGATAAGGGTTTTTTTTAAGGTTTGTTTTCTTTGATAATACTAGTGGCAGAGCTTGGACTTTGATAATTTGGCTCTATTGGAAGTATCATGTAAGCTAAGTGTAGCCACAACTTTTGGTTATTGCAGTATTAATAGTACTATCAAAAACCGAATCGGTTTAAACCGATCCGAATGAGAACCGAACCGATAAAAAACCGATTTTTTGAAACCGAAAACCGACCTGAACCGTATTTTAGTAAACCTGAAACTGAACCGATCCGAGTAACGTTAAATCATTTAAGAACCGAACCAAATCTAAACCGAACTGAAAGGAAACCGAACCGAAAATGAATCAAACCGTTTCTAATCCGAAGTCGTTTGAACTGGCATAAAAAACTGTTTACATCGAACCGTTAACAAACTGCAACCCGCTTGCACCGAACAGTTTATAAACCGAACCGTTTATGAACCGAATCGCTTATAAATCGAACCGTTTACAAACCACTTACTACTAGGGGTGGTTATTGGGCGGGTCAGTGCAGGTCGGTCATTAACGGGGCGGGTCGGTTGCGGGTCAAGATGAATATTTAGCGGGTCAAGGTCAATGCGAGGCAGGGTCGAGGTAAAAGTGAAACGGGCCATTAACGGGTCATTAACTTCTACTTTCTGCTATCAGTTCCTGTGCATACCAGTTGCCAGTGAGAATGCTCTTACTTGTTATGACAGAGAAGGCTATAACAAACTATTGGAAAATGCTAAGCCTCATGATGATGATCTAGATGGAAAGCATAAATTCCAAATGGTTACATTACCTTTAATTTCCATTATTGCTTTTGATAGACAAACATTTAAAAGCTATCAAATGTTTTTAGTGGAAATCTACACACTGCCAAGCAAATCTTTACTACTTTTTTTATATTTTGATGGCTCTCATTACAGTAGAATTATATAACTACAACAGGAATAATAATCAATAATTCGAGACAAATAAGGAACAACATATCAATAATGGAATGTGACTAAAACTATTAATACTTGTTCATTTAAGTATGGTTTTATGAGATTAAAACATTTTAGCAAAAGCCTGAACCACAATTTCATATCCTAATTAAGCTATTGAAATATAATGTGACTACTTAAGCACTATTAAAATATAATGTTTAAGCACTATTGCAATATAATGTGACTACTCCAAGTTCCATGACCAGCAACAAAGCTTTAACAACTTCAGCAACCTGGCAAAATAGAGACAGTAGCCTAGCAAGAAGCATCCAGCAGCATCCCAAAAGCAGAATTATCAACAGCAATGCAAGCTGGCCAGCAAGCCAACCAAATAGACCCACCAACAAGCACAAATCCCTGGCAGCAGCACCAATTTAGCAACACTGCCAAAGAAACAAAGGCAAGCAGCAGGAGCATCAAGCTAGGCAAGGAGAGCATACGTGTAAGAAATGAAGCAACACTTTTCTCAAAAAAAAAATAAAATGAAGCAACATAATATAAATTAAGCATCACTACAATACAACATCCATACCTTCCTAATTAGATGCCAAACTTTCATCTATCACTTCTTTACCAATTTCAAAGACGTCTTCTTCAATATCACAATCATAACCACGTAACCAATTTTGTGTGGTAACCAACGCCTCAACATTCTTAGGCAATAGCGCACTCCTATACTTGTTTAAAATACGACCACCCATGCTACAAGAAGACTTAGAGGCTACCGATGTAATAGGAATGGCCAAAACATCCCTAGCCATAACAGCTAATATGGGGTACACACTAATTTGAGATTCCCAATACTTGAGAACATCATAATTCTGCCCTTTATAAATTGGTTGGCGAGGTGTACACTAATAAGAATCAATCTCCGTCGATGGCCCTTGATGGGCCATCCTCATTATCATCAACATACTAGAAAAGTTCAAACAAAATGCTTTTATTAAATAATAAAAATTAAAACATACAATTATTAATTTTGTAAACCACAATAAACAGAAATTGATTACCTTGAATATATCATCATCCAAGTGACTATTTGATTTATCGATAACAGTTGGGATGGAGGGTGGAACAATTGTACTTGACTTAAAATCGGAAGTCATAGAAGAATAAAAGTTATACAACTCCAAAAGAGCATTTTTAATCACCTTCGCCTTTTCAACACATGACTCATCAACATAAAGCACTTTTAACATCTTCGTCACTCAAACAAGCTTATAGCAAGGATCAAAACAATAGCAATTGAAAGGATCAAACTATATTCATCCCAATAGCCCTCAAACTTTTCAAGCATAACTTTTGCCACGGGTGCAAGTTTAAGGTCTATATGGGCCTTACTTATTGTGTGCTCAATTTTTAAAACACTAGCAAAATATAATTATGCAGTGGGATATTCTGAACCAGAAAATAACACAGTGATTTCATAAAATGCCGTTAGGAAATTACATATTTTAGTAAGGGTATCCTATTCATCATCCGAAAGTTTGAATCATAACCCATAAACCTATCGATAACCACTTTCAAGGCTTCCTTTGCTTCTAAAGCTTTTCTGAGCATCGTATAGGTGGCATTCCAACGAGTCACAACATCAAGACGTAACTTTCCATTAAACACACAGTTAACCTCATGAAGAGCATACTAAAATTGAGTAAGTCTAGAGTCTAAAGAATCAATATATTTACAAACCTCACGCAATTTTTGAACACTACTATCAACTTCTTTTAAACCTCTTTGAACAATATGTTCAAGACATGAGCTAAACATCGAATATGAAAAAATTTACCATTACAAGGAAGAGGAGAAGTCAACATAAATCATTCTTCAAAAGGTTAACCATAACATCCATGGATCTAGCATTATCAACAGTCATTGCAAAAGTTTTACCCTGAAGGTTCCACTCTCCAATAAGTTTAAACACAAATTTTTCTATCTCAACACTAGTATGAGGAGGACCACAATATCTAAAATTCAGAATTTTAGACCAAAGACACCAATTTTTATCAACATAATGTGCAGTTAAAGTGAGATAACCTCGATTAGTGCATGTTGTCCACAAGTCACAAGTGAAGCAAACTCTACCTTCAATTCCAGAAAAAGATTGCAACAACAAGGATTTAAACTTATCATGCTCAGCAATACAATATTTCAAAATAGTGTTTCTACACACATGCTTCACGTTGGGATTCAAATTCGTAAAAACTTCTCTAAGGCCATAATGCTCCACAATACTTAAAGGATAAGAATGCAAAATTATAGCTCTAGCAAGCAATTGTAAATGACGAGTTTGATCAATAGGGGGCTCAACACCACTTTCATGATTTCCAAGATAGTGTGGATTTTTACTCCTACATGTCTTAGTATGAGCTTTACAAGTTGAAGCACCTGCCTTAACGATGTTTTATATTCATTACCGCAAACATTGCATCGAGCATATTTTATCGGAGCAAGACCAACCATCTTATCAAAAAAGGTGTAATACCTCCAAACATCTGATGTTCGTCCACGCTTACTACCACTAGTGGTAGTGACTTGCAGTTGAGTAGAATCTTGATTCTAAACAGTGTATTGAGAATCTATAATTTCAAAATATTCTTGTCTGTCCTCATCATAACCATCAAACTCTTGCTCCATTACTAAAAAAAAGAAACATAAAGTAGATGTAAGTGTTCAGATGAGAATGGAGAATTCAGATGAGAATGGACCAGTGGATATTAATTAAAATCTACATGAACAAACAATTGAACAGACGCAGTCATTTCTTATGCATACCGTCTAGCTCTATCTCATCAACAAATTTAACCCTAAAATCAAATGGGTGTTACACTATAAATTATTTATGTATTCATATAGCAAAAATCTATGGTGCTCACAAGTCACAACATTATCTTTTCCTAATTAAGTGCTAGGAACTGGATTCTAGCTACTGGAAATCAGATTACCAAGGATAAGAATAAGACAAGAACAGCAAGATATTAACCAAACAATACAATGGATATTTGTATTGAAAAGCTATTAACCAAACAATACAATGGATATTTGTAAAGCTAGCTATTAACCAGCTCAACAATGGTGGTTTCCTTCAATTCGAGAAGAAGGATGATCTCCCAAAACAAGCTTAAGCTCATCAATACTATTTCCTGGATATCCTTTGCTACACCCATGCTCTCCTATATATACTGCTTAGATCTTCTACACACTTCCCTTCTACATTCTCCCCCCCCCCCCCTAAAAGAATTTTATTCTCTCAAGTAAAAGACTAACAAACCCCTTACCTACCCCCCCCCCCCCCCTCCAAAACAAAATTACTGAAAAAGAGAACTAATTAACCAAAATAGAAACTGTAAAATAACAAAATCGTTGCCACGATTTAGAGGTCCAGGCCAGAAAATGGAACACACAAATTATACAATACCAGAAAATTATACATATACTCATGATTCTAATGTTCTAAACCGAGAAACAACCTAAAAATCAAAAATTATATGAACAAGAAGAACAATATAAATTAATAATTACATGAACAACAATATAAATCAGAAATTACATGAACAACAATATAAATCAGAACTAAAAATCAAAAAATAAAGATATGCAAATCCCATAAACAACAAATCAGCAACAAAAAACCGAAATGAAAACAAAAAAAATTAATAGAAAATTACCTTTGAGCTTTGACGGCTTGAAGGAGAGGAAGATTTGAAGATGGAGAACTAGAGATTGAAAAAAAAATTCGAGAATGAGATCGAAAAAAAACCGAAACGAAAACAAAAACAATTAACTAAAATTTACCTTTGAGCTATTGAAGGCTGAGAGTCTGAGACGTTGAGCTTGAGAGTTGAGAACTTGAGAGTTCAAATGAGAATGGAGAATTCAGTGCTTCGATTTGAGGATGAAGAAGAAAATCCGAAGAATGAGTGAAGGCTGTGGTAGAAAACGGCTGAATGAAGAGGAGAGAGAATGATGAGAGATTGACAGGACCTAACCTAATTGGCAGTATTGGCTAATTCAATTTCACGTTTCACGTTTTTTTTTTTTTTCTTTTTTTTTTTGTCTTTTGCATAATATATGAACCACTTGTGTATTTAATTATTTAACAATCAAAATATCTAAATTCTAAATCTAAAATTTGTTTTGCCTTTTGGTTTTTAAAGGGAAATTTCCCACCATTCATTATTTGACGAAATTGTCAACAAAAAAAAATAAATCAATTTTCCACTTTGTAAAAATCAAAATTTTTAATTTTATTTTAATAACATTAAACAAACTTTTATACAATTAATTAATTACATGGCTTCAAAAAAAATTAATTACATTTCTCGAATCCCGATAAAACGATATATACCTTCATAATATCAGCTTTTATATTTTTTTTAACACTCACATTAACTTATTAAGTTATTTAAATTATTAAATGTGAATCGGTTAGCGTGTAATTGTCTAGCGTTGCGATTAATAAAAATCGAAGAGTGTATAATAATATAATGATGTCATATCTTAGAGAGTTAGAAGTACTACAGATTTGTTATAGATTATATTTACATCAGTTTAGCTGTGCCTATAAGCAATACACTTGTAATCGTGTAAACTTATAAATGATAGAATTGACTAGTAGATTAGTACATAAATACAAATTACTTAATTAGATATGACTGAAAGAAATGGTGTCCTTCCAACAATTGTATTATTCTGATAGAGGGTTCAGAATTATCAGGAAACTAATTCTTCAATAAGGTCAAGTGATCGGAATGCCTGGGTGGAGGCCGCTTTCGATCAGTAATATTAATGTAAATTAATATTACAGCTTTATCTTGACTGAACCCTTCGGGTCGAACCCAATCGAACTGCCGATCCGAACCGACGAATCAATCATAAGGATTTGATGAGTCATTAGAGTATTACGAACAAAGACGTCGGATATCGAGCTTAGAGCGTCGAGATCCACTACAAAAAATAGGCTTATTTCCAACGGACTTCTTCCGACGGACAAGATATTCCGTCGAAATATAAATCCGTCGGATATTTCCTGCTGAATTTAAACCCGTTGGAATACATGGGCTTTCCGTCGGAATATTACTTTTCCGGCGGAATTAAAATCCGTCGAAACTTTCCGACGGAATTTTCCGTCGGAATATTAGTTTTCCGGCGGAATTAAAATCCGTCGGAATTTTCCGACGGAATTCTTCCTCAGAAATCCCAAACATTCCGTCGGAATAATAATTTAATTTTTTTTTTTAAAAACCCGGAAACCCTACCCCCTCCCCTTTCATTTCTCTTTTATCTCTCCTCTCTTCTGCCGCTTTTCCCTTTCTCTCTCCTCTCCTCCTCTTCTCCTTCCTCCTTCTTCGTTCTCCCCGTAATCTCTTCTCCTTCCTCCTTCTTCGTTCTCCCCTTATTCTCTCTCCTCCTTCCTCCTCTGATCTCTTCTCCTTTTCCTCCTCCTTTTCTCTTTTCTCTCATCAACCACAACTACCACCAGCCCAAAAACGAAGCTGCCACTAAGGTCCGCCATTGTCATTTTTAAAGGTTTTTAAGGTCAATTTCGACCAAGAAAACTCTAAATCTACAGTTTTCTTGGTCGGAATTGACCTTATTAACCAAGTTTGAGGTGAATTTCGAACTTATTTCAAATTTTGAGGTAAGTTTCGTGATTTTAATTATTTTTGTTTTTTTTTTTTTTGAAATTTTTGTTTTGAAATTTCTGGTTTTTGCAAGATCTATTTCTGGATTTGTTGGTTTCGAATTATTTCTGGTTTTTTTTATTTCGAATTATTATGGGTTGTTTTTGTTTCGAATTATTATTGAAATTCAGATTAGTAACTTTATTAGATCTTGTTTTTGTGGGAATTTGTGTTTCGGATTTTTGTTTTGGATTTTTGTAATTGTAATTGTTTCGGTTTTTTTTTTCGATTTGGTTTTTTTTTCGCTTTTCTGGGTGGGTGGGTTAGGTGGGGTGGTGGTGGTCTAGTCAGGGGGTGGGTGGGGTGGTGAAGGTTTGGACAGGGTGGGTAGGGGGTGGTGGAGGTTTGGACAGGACAGGGTGGGTGGTGGTAGCTCGACATGGTGGGGAAGGGTGGGGATCTGGTCACTTGGTCAGGGGTGGGTGGGTGGGTGGGTGAGGTGGTGGAGGTTTGGACAGGATAGGGTGGGTGGTTAGGGGTGGGTGGCTGCTGGGGGGTCGGTGGGTGGTGGTTTGGCTGGTGGTGTGGGCTGGTGGTAGGGGCTGGTGGGGAGGTGGCGTTTTTTTTTTTATTATTGAAATTTCCATCGGAATCCACTTCACCTCCGACGGAATTTCGGTTAAAGTCAAAACCAGCTTCAACAGAATGTATTCCGTCGAAAAAGTGGCTTCCGACGAAATTTCCCTCAGAAAGCATCGAATTTCCGACAAGGGCTGTTCCGAGAGACAGTTTCCGACGGAATTCCGTCGGATTTTCCCGTGTTTTCGACGGAAAAAGTCCGTCGGAATTCAGTTGTTTTCTTGTAGTGATCGAGAGTCGCAAGTCGAGTCGAAGTTAGAATTTGAGGAGACACAAAATCAATCAAGTTACAAGTACGACCCTAGCCGTAGCCTTACATTGGCCGAGCCATGTGAGTGCTAGGCTAGGCGAGATCCATCGCAAGCCTAGCATGCTAGGCGTGCTAGGCCCTTGCGTGTGTGCTAGTAGGCCATGCGCCCAAGCAGCATCGCACCATCGCACTATCGCAGCATTTCATGTGCGTGCGCATATGCTAGGCGCTGGCACTAGGCAAGGCCTAGCACTGCTCGTCGCACCATCGCAGCATGTGCGTGTGCGTTGCTGGCACAGCATCATGCACCATCGCGGCGTGCATGTGCGTGTGCATAGCTAGCACAGCACCAAGCAGCAGCGTGCTTATGCGTGTGCCTCGCATTGCAGCGCCCAGCATGCGTGGCTCGCTAGCAGCACGCATGCTGGATGTGTGTGGGATGCCTGCGGTATATGCGTGGGTGCTAGCTGTGCTGGTTGGCTGCCCAGCCATGGTGCTAGGCGCCAGCTGGCAGCCAAGGCAAACTGCCAGCCAGCCACATGGAAGATGGCGGTTTTGATCAAGTGGGGACCAAGGGTAGTGGGCATTGTCTTGGGCACCAAGGCTATGGTCCCCCCCTCTTGGAATGGTCCTCACCTAATCTCTCTTCCTCCTTGTGCCACTTGTAACTTATTAATTGCTTTGCATTTTAATTTGTTTTTTATTAAAATAAATTGGTGGAAAAATGCAACTCTCCCACATTGATGGGAGAAGGGAGAATCAAGTCACCTTTCCCTATAAATACCCAAGTTTTGGGTTTGGGAAAAACCACTTGAGTTGAACTCAATGAGGCATCTCCCTTAAGGTGAGAAAACCTCTAAGTTCGTAATACTCTAGTTTTATTTGGTCAAATCTCGACTAACCCTCGAGACGAAGATCGTTCGGGTCGGGTCGAGGGTACGAGCCGTTGGAGGCCTTCACGCTTGTGAGGCTCAATAGCTTCGAAGTAAGAGCTCGGTCTACGAGCGAAGCACGCTTCAAGGGTATTACTTCTTTATCCCTTTTCTTGATTATTGTTTAATTATGTTTATGCATGCTTTATTGCTTTAATTATTGGGGCGGGTCTTGGGCGGGTTTCTCTTCCGCGTAGCGTTGGACGTTGCGAAACCCAACAATGACTACATGAGTGATTGACTAATATGACTATACGAGCAATTGTCAATTTAGCATAGTTACATAACAGATTAAAGTGTACTGGACTATCCTACTCGGTAATATACTAATAGCATTTGAGTATTTGATCTATTAGACTCAAGTTAAAAGTTACTCTTTCTTATTAACTTGTTAGTCTAATTAAGTAATTAGTAATTACTAATTAGTGACTTAAGCCTTAGGGGTAAACCAGTAAAGGATATACAAAAATATAATGATCTTATGATTCTCATCCCTTTATACTAATAAATATTTAACTATGAGAATATGAGATGGTTAGATGTTATGTAACTGCATAATCGATTGAAAGAATCAATATTACCTTCTTATTCATTAATGTTTTCTTTCATTATACAAATCAAACTACTTTTTAATATCTTCATATATAACTTTATGCAAATATATAATGATAAAAGAGTCTTAATTATCAGTCTTGTTGACTAATTAAGTATCGAATACCAAATTGCAAATTTCGATGTCACAACAACTCATCAAATCATGATTATGACACTATTAATTAAATGATCAAATAAGAAGCAGATAATAATCTGATAGTAAAACAATAATACATTAATGCACTAAACTTTTATAATCTACTTCGTAATAAACTAGTAAGATCAGTATGGCTAAACTTGAAACATAACATATATGTATTTATAAAATTAATGAGAATTTTCATATAATATGATGCCTCAATATGAAGTGATGAAGTCTCGGCTTGATATAAAACTTGTTAACCAGCAAAAAGTTATAAAGTAGTATCAAATTTCAAACCAAAACCGTTTAATTGCCCGAATCCAAATGACTCGATAAAAAACCAATTTTTTGAAATCAAAAACAGACCTGAACCGTAATTTAGTAAACCTGAAATAAAACCGATCTGAATAATGTTAAATTGTAGAAGAACCGAACCCGTTAACGAACCGAACCAGTTATAAACCGAACTAAATAAAACTGAACCAAAAAAGAACCAAACTATTTCTAACCCAAAACCGTTTGAACCTGGATAAAAACCATTTACACCGAACCGTTAATAAACCGCAACCTTTCTGCACCGAACCGTTTACTACCCGGACAGTTTACAACCCGAACCGAATTTAAACCGGAGTAAAAACCGTTTACACCGAACCGTTAACAAACAAACCGCAACCCGTCTGCACCGAACCATTTACTACCCGGACCGTTTATAACTTGAACCGAATTTAAACCGTTCAAAAATAAACCAAAATCGAATCGAATCGATAATTATTTAAACCAAACTGAAACCGACCCATAAGACACTTGAACCGATTTCTAACCGACCCGATTTCAAACCGAACCGAAACCAAACTATGAAACCGTTTTGACAGTCTGTATTACTATGTAAATCTTGGTATTATTACATGTTCACAGTAAGAATGTTGTCGGCATTGACATCTTGACGACATCATCTTTGCGGTCACTGTTGTAATGTTGTGACATGTCATATTGTGTAGTTTTAATGACCAGGGAAAGTTGCTATTGCCACATGCATCGTATCCTCTCCTCTGTTTGATATGTGTCCTTGTACAATCTCTATATACGATTCGTTCTTAGCCTGAACCCTTATATCCTCCTGCTCTGTTTGCTCTTGGATAACAATAGTGAAGAGAAAGGGAGGGGAAAGAAAAAGAGGTAATGGAAAGGGAGGAGAGTGGAGGGAGAAGGTGACCTTTCATTTTCTTTCCAAATTTCTCCGAAAAAACTAAAGAACGTCTTTTTCAATTACACAGTCTGAAGAATACCAATTTTTCAACCTACATCACTATGCTGTCGGCCACCGTGATATTGGCAAACACCTATGCAGGTAATTCTTCCTTAACAAAAATTTAAAAATGAGATTGTTGTTGAGATTTTTTAAGAACAAAAAAAAACTGGAAAAAAATGTATGTGGATCTATGTTAATTGAATATAAATTGAATACTAATGCTCCTATATTCACATTAGATTTTTGGTGTATAAAGTCATCAACCCTCATGTTCATGTCCTTGGCTATTAATAATGTATGTGGATCCTCACAAATTTTGACTAGAACAACCAAATCTACAGTGCCTTAAATCCTCCCTCTCCTAATCTCCCTGTTAATATGTCACTTAAATTTGATTTTTCTACATGTAATTCATGAACCAATGAATTGAAGTGCATTAGAAGTCACTCAATCATTAATTGTTTTTGGAAGCGAGCTTACAATTTGTTTCTCACCTTATGCATATTCGTAGCTTGAAAAATATTGTGAGCTTATGTCGATCAAATATTCGTAGCATGAAACATATTAACATGTAAGCTTACAATTTGTAAATGAATTGAAGTGCATTAGAAGTCACTCAGTCATTCGAATGTGCATTTACTTTATATAAATTAAAGTAATAATAATAAATTTACAATGACATAATCAAGCTAGAGATACATTTATTTTTGATTCCTCAAGTTTTCTAAACATTGGAAATATGCATATAAGTACTATTATACATTCCTGTATTAGTATTACTAGGACTTTTGCAACCTGCAGGTGACTTAAAAACAGCTATATTTGTAGAATTGTAGTAGTATATTAGAGACTAATGATAAACTAATCCAACTGGTTTACTTTCTCTTCATACTAGAAAACATGTGGAGTAGCAACAGCAAGAAGAGGAGTCTTCCTATGTATAGTGAGACCAGTGCATTCAGACATGTCAAGTGTTTCGGCACTGACCCCAGCAGGTAACGCCCATTTGAACTTGTGCACAAGATTTGCTAGCACAATCTCGTTATTAGCTAACGCAAATGTCATTCCTGGGCACATCCTTCTGCCACCCCCGAATGGAATCAACTCAAAGTCCTGTCGTTTTAATTCTATCGAAGAGTTCAAAAACCTTTCAGGACGAAACTCCTCAGGCTCTTCCCATGTAGCAGGGTCTCTCTGTACTGCCCAAGCGTTAACAAAAACAAGAGTCCTGGCAGCAATGTCGTAACCATCTATCTTTACATCTTGGGTTGATTCCCGAGGAACCAGCAACGGAATTGGTGGATACACTCGTAGAGTCTCCTTGATCACTGCTTTCAAGTACTTCATTTTCTCCAAATCTTCGTCAGCTATGTAATCTTTGCTTCCACCAATTTCTCTTACCTCATTTTGCACTTGTTCCATGATTCTAGGTTTTCTTAAGAGCTCTGCCATCGCCCATTCCAGCACCGTGTATGTCGTATCTGTTCCTGCTGCAAAGGCGTCCTACATGAATTGTAGGCAATAGTTTAGAACATAAAGAATTATGGGTAATTCTCTGTTTCTCATTGTGTTCTCATGGGGTATGTGTCAACATTTGAGGCTCCCACTCATGACACATACGCGGTCCCCACCAGTGAAAAAATCACATTATTTTCCAAAATGTCATTATGAGAAACAAAAGTGTCCTGAGATAGTCTTCTTTTTTTGTAAAGTTGGTGATAGCTAAAATTTTAATTGATGATTGATTAGACCAAAAAAAAAAAACACTTTTGGTGATGCAAGTACAAGGAAATTAAAGAGGCAAACCATAAGAAAAGCTTACTTACAAATCAAAACGACGAAAAGTTGTTATACTAGAGGCGCACAACACTTACCATTACCAAAGCTTTGATGCTTTCTCTTTCAAGAGGAAAACCGGTAGAATTGTCCTTCTGCACATGAAGTAAAACGTCGATAAAATCCCTTACTCCATTCTCATCATCTTTATTATCTCCTGCTCGATTGAGTCGATCAGTGTGCTCTGTAACTATCTCTTCCAATAGCAAATCAAAAGTTTTTGCAACTCTCTCCGCTTTTGAATTCAAACCATTGAATCTATTCACCCAAGCCAACCAAGGTATAAAATCTCCAATATTAAAAGTCCCAAGCAACTCCACAAACTCCTTTAAGACCACCTTAAAATCAACACCGCCTTGCTGATGATTTTCGGTGTCATATTTTTTACCAAATGCAACCCTGCATACCACATCATTAGTCAACCCCATAAACATCGCGCTTAAATTTACTACTGATCCATTACTCTGCTGAATCTTCTCCATCAGCAAGGCGGTTTCTTCCTCTCGTATACCCTTAAAAGACCGAACTCTTCGATTACTCAAAAGTTGGAGCACAAATATACTCTTCATCTGCCTCCAATACTCTCCATAAGAGGAAGCAGCAACATCCCTGCTGTTGTACAACACTTTATCATTTATGCTAAACTTACCTCGATTGGATATCGAAGCATCATGTGTTTTCATGATCTCTTTCGCTACCCTTGCAGACGACACTACAAGCGTTGGCTTGCTCCCTAAGTAGATCAACATAAGCTCGCCATATCGCTCAGACCAAGATTTGAGAGTGCGGTGAGGGAGCTCACCTAGCTTAGGAAGATGTCCTAGGATTGGCAGTTTTGGTGGAGATGGAGGTGAGTTATGAATTTTCGAAGAGGTTGTAGATAGCCATTTGTATAGGAATAAACAGAACAGGATCAAAGAAGGGAAAGAAAACGAGAAGGGATGCATGTAAAATGACTCGTTTAGTACTTTCTCTAACATTTCTACGACAATACTATATTGACAGCGACGGTTGGCTACTTCGACGATACACCTCTACAACACTTTAGTCTCCTAGAGACGACGGGATATACACCACTAAACTCAAACTCAAGATACACAACTCTTCTTGATTTGATTGATTCACGTAGTATTGCAGTGCTATTTATAGGCTAATTTTCACTATTACATACATACAAACCGACTTATTAATGGTAAAATATGCATGGTACATAATTACATATGCCGTCTTTGTCAGCACACCCAAGCAAAGCTACCAATTTTCTTCATAGAATTTTCCATAAATGCTGTGCTTGAAAGTCTATGATTGTGGCCGTTCGGGACACCCGAATCATATAGTGTTGAACTCATGCTTGTTCGATCTCTGTGTTTCACGTACGATACAAAATTAAGTGTGAATACATCAAAACATGGTATGACTCGAGCTGAAGTGACCGCAAGTTCGGAACCAACAAGCGGACAAACCCCCTTAAAAACAATATTTTGACTCGAAAGAGTGTAGAACTCTGCTGATTTAGTCACATAATAAATGCCGACAATGAAACGGATAATTCGTATGATACTTCAAACAACATTATCTCTTCTTCAGCGCTATGTTAGTTGTTCGATTTTGACCTCAACAACCAAACTCCATCTGTTTGTCTAAATTATTGTCATCATTAAAGAAATCATTAAAGATGTGTGATGAAATGATGATGAATCCTCTTGCCGTCTATATTATTTCCGTTTGTGACTCTCTATACACCCAAAAGTCGAGGAGGATGTTGTGTAAGTGTCAGTATGACATCTGAGATTAATTTTAAATGTACTACGAGTAACTACTAGTATCAATTATAATTGATTAAAAATCTTTCTTAGGCTAAGTACAAGCTCGCTTTAGAGAACGAAAAGTCGGACGTGGTTGCAAAGGATGCTAGGTGTACCTTGGAGGCCGTGAATGAACTTTGTATTTTGCATTACCCACCTCCTATGCTGCTTTTGTTAAAGATCAAACTTCTGGGTCTGTAAACTCTAACTTTATTCGAGCTGGTGATGCCCCAGCTGAAACTTCTACTTATGTAATTAACAATTAATCTATGCATCCCTGTTTTTTTTTTTAAAAAAAACGACGAAAAACGACGAAAAACGAAAAGTCAACTACATACTACGTTACAAAGTTACAAGTGTAAAATAATTTCATCCTAAAATGATAGGTTGATATTGAATTAGTCCAATATTGATAATGTTAGGCCTTGTTGGTTGCACTTCAATAATGGGGGAAATACAAATTCATGAAAAATGTGCTTAAGGGTAATTGTTTGGTTAGCAAAAATGTAGAAAGTGGAAATTCCTAAGGAATTTGGAATTCTACAAAACATGGGAATTAATTTCTCACACCCTACCTTGGTCACTCAAACTTGTCACAAGTATTTTGGGTGAAATTACATTATTATCCTCAAAATTTTGGGAAAGTAGTTCAAGTTATAATTATACATGGGTATTACATAAGCTAACCAAACAAAACATAGGAAACTAATTCATGGGAAATACAATTTTAGTATTTTCTAGGCAATTATTAAATTGCCAGTGTTTTAATATTTTTTTAATGGAAAATACAAAAGAAGTTGAAAGAAGACTAAGGCCTCATTTGGTTGCATATGGAAATTAAATGTCTATAGAAAGTTACAATACATGAGAAATTTAATTGCCTAGAAAATACTAAAATTTCCTATATATCAATCAAACACAATTTTAGTATTTTCTTATACTAAAAGATTATAAAGTTCCTTCAAAAAAATAAAAAAAAAATAAAGATTATAAAGTCATTCACTTCATTAAAATTAGGCAAAATTAATGGAATCAACCCTTAAAGGTGGGACTCCCGTATTAGTGCCTATGTATAAGGAATTTCTCATAGTTAGGCAATATATAATTCGTTAATTCCTACCCCAAATCTTATGACGTCTGCGTATCGTCCTTCCTTCTTTTCTATCCCTTACCTTAAAAATAAAAAATAAAAAAATAAAAAATAAAAAGTATAAGATTACTCTTATAAGTAGTGTATTGTCAATTACACATTTAAAATATAGCAAGCCCCGATTTATAAACTAGATAAACAAATTATGTTTATTAATAGCATTTTTGTAAATAAGTTGCATTGAAAATTATGGTTTTTTTATTAAAAATATATTTTTTTATTGTTCGTGGGCCACTATGACAAGTTGGACAGACACTACAAGAAAATAGCTTATTTTCGATGGCAAATTTCCGATAGTCTACAAAAGCCGTTGAAAAAAAAAAAAATCAAGGGTTTAAAACCCTCGTAATTTTCCGATGGCTCAAAAACTTTCCAATGGAATAAGACATTGGTGATTTCTGATGGTTTATAAAAGCATTGGAAATAATAGGTTCCGATGGTATTTTTCCATCGGATATTATATTTTTGAAATTTAAAATTTGAAAAAAAAAAATCCGATAGTTATTTAGCCATTGGAAACTTTCGATGACTTAAATCAGAAGGAAAATCTATCGAAAATTATATTTCAGATGGCTTTATTCTATAGGAAAAGCCATCGGAAACCTGTTTAATTAAAGATGGCTTTATTCCATGGGAAAAGCCATCGGAAACCTGTTTAATTAAAAAAAAAAAAAAAAAAAAAAGGGTTTTATTTCTATTTTTTGTCGAACAAAATAAGTAGGAGAAGGAGAGAGTAGGTCCTACCCGTCGCCACTCACCCTTCACAGGCCACCCTCCATTCCCCTCAGTCGTCCTTCGTGCGTCGGCCACCGACCACCAGTTAATGGTTTTTCCTTTTTTTTCGTTTTTGATCCTACATTGCTAACCCTAACCCTCAATTGCTCAGCCGCCTAGATCCACCGCCTCAGACCACCCACCCGTCGACCACCCAACGACTTAGACCACCCACTGACTAGCAGGTATGCCTTCGACCTATTTTTTTTATTTAGTTTCAATTAATTAACCATAAACCCTAAGTTTTTTAATTTTAATTTTTTTATTCGATCATTTGTAGGAATTGTAGATTTAGTTTGTTTGCTCCTCAAAAAAGAGTTCAAATTCAAAGGTTAGTGGCTATTTTTTCCAATGCTCTTATTTTTTATATATGTGTTAGTTATTAGTAGCAAAAATGGTACAAAATGATCTTATTTTTGGTGTGTTTTGGGGATGAAACTATAGTATTTCATAGAAGTTCATTAATAAATATTAAAGTAAAAACAGTGTCATACAAAATTAGTATGATCCATACCACACAATTAATAAATAAAAATTCCATGTCAAAGTTCTAAAGTAAACCTTAATGCTAAAAGTATTTATTTATTCTTAAACAAACTAAACAATGATTTGAATTTAAATCTATTGGCTTGACCATCAAAGCTCTCCACGCACAATCAGCTAGGTATTCGGAGTTTGTGTGTTGGAAACATTGTCCGAAAACGAAACATTGAATTGTTTTATCAATGTATCTTTCAACATCTTCATTTCAGCTTCAACCAAACCCATGCGACTCTTTAAGTTCAGTGTTTTCTTCTTGAATAGTCTCCACATGATTTGTAAGATCTTCATTTGTAAGGCCTTCTATATGAAATTTGTTTTAGGCAGTGGGTTTCCCTCGACAAACAGTTGAATTAGACAAAATCAACATAACCACATGAATCCATCTGTTCAGGAAGACTCATCCTACAAAGGTCTAGGAAAGATGTCGTTCTCCCTTGGCTCATTCCACCTGTCAATCTGCATTCCACAAACATTGCAAATTTGCAACCATATTAACCAACATGGAGAGCTGAGATAAAAAAAATAAAATGATTCATCTCAATGTCAAGGCAATGTAAGAAGGAAATTCTCACAAGAAATTTGCAATAATAGCAGACAACTTGAGAAGTAATATGTGAAGGTGAGTTTATCTCAGTTTGATTTCTACATATACCAAAATTCCGACAAGAAGCGACAAGCCAACAACATACTACAAAATACAGACAGTTATTCCACAGTGTTCTCAGTGATTACCCTCAAGTTCTAAGTTACCAAACCTCAGCCTCCAAGATTCCTTAAAAATTTGTTTGATTGAAAACATTAAGTGGGATAGCACGAATCACATCTCCATCTTAGGTTTAGAATTTTACACAGAATTTCAGGAAAAAGGGTATCAAACTAAGATATTTTCTACAAATTTATGATTTGCACTCAACAGAAGCTTACAATGTAAACTTCATATTTTGGCAAATTCTTCTCTAGTCGACTCATAGACTAAAGTATTCACTTCAATTCCAAGTTCTGACTTTGAAAGCATTGAAATGTATGTTCTTTGCCCCTCTTTGCTCTTCCCTTCCTTTCCACTCAGCATAGGGATGTAGGGAACTAAACAGGCTACAAACAATTATCTATCCTAGATAGAAATTTTTGAATCTAAATCACTGTTTGTGCTGTATGAAGATATTTACTCGTCAAAAAAGAAGGAAAGTCATAAGAAATTAAATTTTAAGTAATTAACAAGAAACCATGTAGTTACCCATTCACCAGGGCAGAGAGACCTATAAAACTTAGCAAATTTATCACACTCTAGGGCATCTTCACCCTTGGCAGCGGTGCACCTAAAAGAGGACAGAATATTTGCTAATCACAGGGAGCAATTTTTTTAAAAAGAGATAACAATTCATTAAGTTAGATGTCTTACCGATGATAATGTATCGGGTAAGGCAATGCCTTGTTTGGTTTGTGGTTGGGAAATGAAAATCTGCTGGTGCAATCTCAAGCTGTAGCATATTAAAGATAGATAAGAAAGACGAAAGAAGTTCACAAGGAGGTGCTTCTTCAGTTTTCTCGGGAGCAGCTTCTGCTGCAGTCTCAACCTCTGCTACTTCAATAGGTTTGGATTCAACAGGCTTCTCATCTTTTGGCAAAGAATATTGCTGAGTTCAACAGCATTAGACAGGGCATTTTAGATTCAAACTAATATGTGATCAGTGCTTTTCAAAAAAAAATAATGTACAAGCATGCAAATTCAATGACCAATACACCACACACACTCAGAAGTATAAGCATTGTAAAAACATTTAACGTCAGTTATCTCGTAGAGATACATCATGACCAAACATTGTAAAAACAAGAGTTCAACTTGTAACACATAAAAGATTTATAAGGAGAATTTGGGCTGGCAGAGGCAGGTAAATTGAATAATCCATGGATTTTGGAATTTATGAACAAAAAATTTCCTTTCAATTTTGTAAGTAAAAATAGGCAAACTTTGCAATCATTCTAACGGTGATAGTCATGCGGCTGTTGAAACACAGCCTTACAGTGCAAAGGTCAACGGTCAGCAGCAAGACTTGGCAATCATGCCACAAGCAAGGATAGCAAGCACATGTGTTTCACTATTGATCAAAGCAGTCTATGGAGTCCAACAGGTCGATGCTTAAGCTCAATTCAACTATAAATTTATAGATTTCAAGAAATCCGTATAGATTCTGTTACAAGACTTATAACAGAATAACAGTCTGTAACTACGTTTATTTGTACAAGCAATAATATACGAATTATAAATAGAGCTGTAAAGCTTGTAATAAACAAAATGATAAATAACTGTGAAATTATTCATTACAAACTTACTCTCTCCCTAATTTTTAGTATTAGTTTTCGTTAAAATACATAAGAGCTGCAAGGTTGCAACTTTCATCACATTCAAATCTCAAACTCAAACCTGTAGCTAAAAACCACACCGGTCTTTCTAACATGCACTACCTATCAAATTTCCTACAAGTGCAACATTTCCTTAATAATATGAACTAAATAGGAGGTTATATGGCCGTATCAATGTATCATACATATTTCTTTCTTTTGGACAGCTCTCTCATTGCACGACTGGGCGATTTTTAGGGCTCAACACTATATAAGACTATATCATCCAATCATACTTAAAAATACTAATATATAGCCCTACCAACAGCGTGAAATCGAGGGCTATAAAAGGCACTCAAGGGTCAAATTAGATTCAAAACCATGTAATTCAAATTCAATTGAATTGCATTATTTCTTGGTTCAGGGAGGGTGTAAATGGATGTCGATTCCAAGTCTTCATGATCTTCGCCATCAGCCTCATCATTATAGCTTAGTAAATTATAGGTCTAGTAAATGAAACCTTAGTTTACATACTTGATTATTTTTGTCAGCACTCATTTTTTTATTTTACAATCTTTGTAATAAAGATAAAACTTTCGTCCATACAAATAGAACTAATATTCAATCACTTAACTTTATCTCAAAAATATGTTTATGTACCTACTTTGAGTTTGAGACATCAATATTGATTTCCTATAAATTACAAAAAGACCTGCAACTTTGCAATTACTCTGAAGCTAATAATCAAACTTAAGATATAAAACAATGTCATTAAAAGAGAGATTAGAGTCAAGAGTAGTTAAGTGAGTGTTTAATTTGATAAACTTAGTATCATTAGACTGAATCAGTGGAATGTGACTGTCTTTTGGGAATTCAACAGTCCTTATAATCATATTTTAATAACCAATTTTAAATTGAGAGAGTTATACAAGTTTAAATATCCTCCGATTCTACAGTTCTCAAGCTATACCCATGTCCTTTTTCAATAACTTATCATACAAAATTCAATAAAGCAACCAAATTAACAAAACTGTCCTTTTACAATACATATCAGAGATTCGAATTAACAAATCTTGTGAATTTTTTTTAACTAATACTATAAATATACAACCAAAACATCCAGAAATTCATTATTCAATTAAATTTGGCAACTTTGCACAATATTATAGAAAATATGAGAAAATAAACCCATAAACATACATCGAAAAATCAGGAAGTTGGAAAGTGAACATGCAAACAATTAAAAAGTTCAGAAAAATAAAATAAAAGTAGTTTATAACATAATTTATCAAACCAAATAAGCAAATAGCATAATTCAATTGAGAATCAAATGAACAAATTATACTATGAAAAGGGGGAAATGAATCTGATTATCAACAAAACATAAGAACAAACTTAAATCAAATCAGTTATTCAGATTTATCATAGCCATAATTGATTCAAACCCAATTTATACACATCATCTATAGAAAAATCTCATATTACTTGTACAGTAAGGCTTTAAGTAAAATTAACGTATATTTTTGTCTTATATTCAATCTATCCCATCAGATTCCCAGCTGAAAGTTTTTGCCTTGAATAATTGGGAGTTGAGGACCCTTGAAGTGTATGTCATCTTTGCAAGTCTGCTAGAAACTACTTATTGAAAATTTGAAGTACATACCGCCTCATACTCATTTATTCCTATATTGCCATTATCTCTAGCATAAAACTCCCCAACCATTTCATCAACGAGTTAGCACATTCTACTCATTAGCCATGTAGTTGAACTGTCAACGTGTTGTTTTTGACATTACTCACCTGCACTTTCTTGCCATTGGGATTAAATTCCCTCAAACAAAAAATTTAAGATTAAGAATTCATGCATATTTTCTTACTCAAACTTATATCTAAACCCAATCAAACCTCCTCTTCACGCACTCAACTATAAACACACAAAAAGTGGCAATACCCTCATCAAACAAAATCAAATTATTATAGCAAAAGTATCAAAAATCAATTAGTAGTCAATTTAGTTTAACATAGACCATAATCTTTATACTGTAGAAAAATCAATTGCCAAAAAAATTAAATAAATACTATATCTTCTATATGGATTTTCAACTTTCAAAAATACAATATTTTTTAAAAAAATAATTAACCAGAAAGCAAAAATTCAATATTCCCAAATATTCAAATGAAGAAAACCTATGTTTAAACAGTCATTAACCCAGCTATCAAACTGAAACCCATACGATATACTAAAAATGGAAGAAAAATAATATCTAAAAAATTCCTATAAGATACCCAGAAAAAGAAGAAGGAGATAAAGTACACTAAATACCAAATACAATAGGCATAACAAAATAACTAAACATTAAAGCAAACAAAGAATGGATTTTTAAAAGAGATTAATTTAGTTTTGGGACAGAAGAGCGATCTACAAAGTTCTTCAACCTAACAAAATTAAAATGACACATAACAATGTTATTACCCACAAATTAGATCCACATTTCTACAATAATCAATCACTCGCTTTTTACTTCAAAATTCATATGTTTGATTTAAAGTATGTACTGTATCATAAACTGAATGATATAGGACGAGTATCATTATTGCATCCTCTGACATTATGAAAAACAGATAAATCGAATTCCAAAACAAAACATTGTAAATTGTAGAGCGATACTATTCATCATTAACTCAATTCAAAATGACAAATCGAAGTTAAAATGGAAAATGTCCGATAAACACCTACCAAACTGTAAATTAGGTTAGCCCATCAACCCCAATATAAGAGTTTAAAGAACACATGAAGGAATTGATGAAATTTCAGTCAAAATTTAGACATTAAAATTAAAATTACTATAAATATGAAAAATCAAAGGGGGAAAAAATTACAACTAACCTTGAATAAATTAAAGAGATTATCCGAAGGAGAGCGAAAGAGGATTGCTCAGATAACAGTGTCTGAATGAAGCATTGTTTGGAAGGAAAAAAAAATGTTTAAAAAAAAAAAAAAAACCCTTGGAAAATAAAAAGACGACGTGGCATTCTATATTTTCTTTTAAGTTTCCTGTTTTAAAATAATAGTATTGATTTGCTTTGAGCGTCGTTTTGAGCTTTGATTTTGAGTGAATTTGCTTGATCGTTGATTTTCGCTTGATTAGAAATCCAAATAAAAAGATGGCAAGAAATTAAAGGGTTTTGCGTGAAATATTTTGGAAGTAAAGATAGAAAAAGGTTTGATTTAGCGATTTTTTGAAATTTTAGTGCCCGCCACTTTTTAACGACAGATCATTTTTTTTTAATTTTTTTTTTTCTTTTTCCAAATTATTAACAACGGACATATCATATTATCTATATCAAGTACGGCAATCACTCTATCATTCACGAGAAACATTTTTGGTCATTGTTATAAAGTGAATAAACAGTGCTTACAACGACGAGATTTTGAGTTCGTCGTTATTGAATTGTCGTTAATTATATAAATTCTAGTATTGATAACTAATCTAGCATGATTAGAATTTCACTTTGTATATAACTAATCTACTCTAATCTAATCTATGAACCTTTTATATATATATATTTACGTATTTTTATATTAAATTATTATTTCATATAACCAGATTTGCCAAAAACAGGTCACTATGTGCAGGTTAAAAGGAAACAAAAGGAAATATACATTGAAATCCAAGTGTTAATCTGTCGAAATTAATGGAATTTTCCTATGGCTTTTGGCCAAAGGAAATTTTCGATGGCTTTAAGCCGTAGGAAATATCAGACAATTCCGATGGTTTTCATGACCATTGGAAATTTCCTATGGCTCAAAAGCCATCGAAAATATTTATTTTCCGACGGTTTAAGCCATAGGAAATTTCCTATTGCTTTAAGCCATCGAAAATTACCAAACTCTGTTGGCTTAAAATCCATTGGAAAGTTCATTTTCGACGGTTTTCCCATCGGAAAAGTTGGATTTTTCGACAAAGGTATTTTTCAACTGAAATTTTCCGATGGATTTGGGTAGGTTTCCGATGGATAAAAGCCATTGGAAAAAAGCTATTTTCCTGTAGTGAGATTTTAAAAATTAACACCGTAAACTCTCCGTTTGCTACTATTCATCATCTTCTTCTTCCCACCTTCTTCTTCTTCATGTTCATCTTCTTCCTCTTGTTCATATTTTTTCTTCCCACCCACCTTATCCTCTCCCTCCAATCTCTGCCCACTTTCACCTTCTCTTTCAAGTCCGTTCGACTCCATTTCCGCCGGTTTCGCCGGCGAAATTAAACGAAAACCCTAATAACAAAAGGAGAAATTAATGGCATGGTAAACCCTAAAGGGTAGTTAAGTTTTCTTTCCTCCATTAAATTCGACTTCAGATGGCTTCGCCGCCGGAATTAAACGAAAACCCAAATAACAAAGTGAGAATAACGGGCATGATTAGCCCCATAGGGTAGATAAACTTTTCTCCCTCCATTGATTTCGACTTGTTCGACGTCATATAGTGAAAAGGTGTACTCTCCACCCTTAAAATTGAAGGTTAAAATAGGAGAGTGAAAACAACAAAAGGTTGAAGGAGTAGAGAGAAAATCAGAAAATGCCAAAAGGTTGAAAGAGGAGAGAGAAAATAACAGTTAACCAAAGTTAAACGTAATTTACATATACACCCCTTGATAAAGGTTATATACTTGTATTTTCTCTTTAAAATGTGCATTTACATGTTTACCTTTATCAATATGTACAAGTGTTTTTTTTTATCTTGTCCTCAACCTTCATTAATATTAATTGCTTTTTTTTTAATTATTAAGAATAGTTTGTGGACGTTTTTTTTTTAATTTTTTTTTGACAAGAAGTTTGCGGACATTTATATCCCTAAAATATTTGTTTACATATTTTCCATTAATGTAACCAACGAATGAAAAAGTTCCTCGACGGCGCGCACATCGCACGCGTTAGCCACCCTATTCAAATAAAATATAAGAAAAAAATACTCCCGCCGTATCCAAATAAATACTATTGGGTGCGGCAGTCCACACCCAATATTTCGTGCGGCGACATCGATGATACAACAGCTAAAGCATCAACCAATAACTCTGACTCAGATGACGATGACGACGACAATGATGAAGCTCAAAACCTAGAGTTAGAATTAGAACTCTCTCGTAATCCCAAAGAGCCAATTTCGACATTATCATAAACTAACCCAAAATTGTTCCGACAACCAATTTCGGCGGCGGAGGTAGGGTGGCCATGGAGACGATGAGGAGAGCGAAGATGTGAGAAGATGACTTCCATGAGAGAAGCTTCCACAGTTGAAGAGTAGAAGGTTTGTGAAGAAAGAGAGATGGAAGTATTTGCAACAATGGAGGATATAGCGAGTAGCGAGTAGCGATTTCGTCAATTTATGTTGAATATGCGTTACTTTTTTTTATATTCTTGTATAATATAATTAATAAAACGTATCAGCCAACATTAGCAACATATCAGACATTGATAAAAACGTATCAGCCAACAAAAGAAACATATCAGTCAACAAATAAAACAAATCTGCCAACCAAAAGGATGAAATCGGCAAACAAAAGCAACATAGAAGCCAACAAAATAAACGTATTAGCCAAGAAAATAAAACATATAAGCCAACAAAATGAAGATATCAGCCAACTAAAGAAACATATCAGCTAACTAATGTCTGATAGCAGCTAACAAAAGGAACATATCATAGATTAAAAAAACACATATCAGCCAACAAAAGGAACATATCATCCAATACAAGAAACATATCAGCCAACAAAGGAAATATATCAGCCAACACAATCAGCCAACAAAGGAAATATATCAGCCAACACAAAAAACATATTAGCCAACAAATGAAACATATCAGTCAAGCCTGCCCCACGTAATTATGCGTATGGCAGCTCGCACACAATACCTTCTCATAAATGTATTAGTTTGATTTATGTATTGTTCACATACCAACCGTAACTTTGACTTGATTTGTACTATTATATAAAGTACAAGCATAATGTTATTAAATAAAGCTTTACTAGATTAGTCACAATTTATATTTCAACAATATCAACTTTATATTAAGTTTACTAATATATAATAATTATATTAATATGTCGATCAAACATAAGCACTCTTTCAAGTACAAAGGGAGAACCACGTTAATAAAAAAAATAGGTTCAATGTCTATTTAACTTGATTTAAAATATTGGAAGGAATTGTACTTAAAAGTTGAAATTAATTGGATGATCTTTATCTAAGCTATTTAACTTATTAGACATTATTATGACTTATTTTATTTATAAATTAAACTTAGATAGCCTTATGAAAGTGAGGAATAGCTCGGTTAGTTAAAAATTTTCTTTCAATTCAAGGGGATCCTGGTACCCTTAACCGAATTGGCCCTTGCTTAGAATTATTGACCCTTATTTGAACTTATAAATTATTGTTACATCATATGTCATTGTGGCTCTATCTACATCAAGTTTAAATTTATCTCTTACACGTGTAATGCTTCGTTAATTACAAAAAAAAAAGGTTACTTAACACCTTTGAAGAAGTTAAATATGGACAGAATCATTTATCATGATCTCATCGAATAGACTCGTCCAATCTCACCGAATTCACCTAATTACCTGAATAAACACCTCTATGTTCATTGTTTGCTTTGCTAATGAAGTAAGTATCCCGATAGATCAAGCAGCGTTTATCTTTACTCGTGTTGGTGATTCAAGACAA